AGAATGATGAGGGCAATGAATGTACAAATGTGCTTTACACAATTGATGTATGTATGGATTGTGATAAAGTTTTATGAGCCCCTAATAAAACGATTAAAAAAAAAACTTTTACTAAATAAAGACTTATTAAAAAAAAAAAAAGAAAAGGCTGTGCTTCCCAAAGGCTGCAGACCTACTGCTTGAACCTCAGACCACATTCTGCAGAGAAGTCTGATTTTCCATAAACTTTTTAAAGCACCCTTGAACCTCTCACCTAGTTCACATAAAAAAATGTGCTTTGCACAATTGATGTGTGTATGGATTGGGATAACAGTTGTATGAGCCCCTAAAAAATGTTTAAAAAAATAAAATAAAATAAAAGGGGAAAAAAAATACATTAAATAGAAAAACAAACAACCAAACCCTCATAATGTCACACAAGGTTGGAGACAGCCAGGTCAGCTCCCATGTACCTACCCTGGACCAGGACCACAAACAAACAAACACCAACCCAAAAAACCCTCACTGCCAGTGAGTCGGTACCAACTCACAGTGACCCACAGGACGGGGGAGAACTGCCCCTGGGAGTGTCTGAGACCGTCACTCCTAACCGGAATAGAAAACCTCTTTTTCTTCCACAGAGCAGCTGGTGGTTTCAAACTGCTGACCTCGCAGTTAGCAGCCCAATGTGTAACCACTATGCCACCAAAAAGCAAACCAACTCCCTGCCACCCGGTCAATACCGACTCACAGTGACCCTATAGGACAGGGTAGAACTGCCCCTGAGACTGTAACCGAAAGCCCCATCTTTCTCCCTTAGAGCAGCTGCTGTTTAGGACAGGGTAGAACTGCCCCTGAGACTGTAACCGAAAGCCCCATCTTTCTCCCTTAGAGCAGCTGCTGTTCCCCAACCGCGTGGACTTGGCTGATGGTGGCCCACTGCATAACCAGTATGGCACCAGGGCTCCCGGACCAGGAGCACCACTGAATGTAGCCACCAGGAGGAGCCCCTGCACACGCAAATGCACCGAAATGCTACCAAGCAGCAAGCAAAAAAGGCTGCCAGGCACGCCCTTCTATGGGGAGCAAGCAGTGATTGGGGTCTTAAAAGCTTGCAAGCAGCCCTCTAAGGTGCAACAATGGATCTTTCTCTGGCCAAAACATAGAGGAATACAGAAAATCAAAGATTCAAGGAAACAATTAGCCCCAAAGCCTAAGGAGCCAAGCAAACTTCAGCTTCTAAAGCCCTGAGGCAGAGGAGCGAGGGAGCCTGGCTATCTATCACTGTGGACCTCCTCCGACTGGGATCATCATCGACGGGCCTAGGCACAGCGAGCGAAAATGTGGAACAAAGTTCACAATCTCAATAACAGATCAGACTTAGTGGTGGGACCCCTGAGACCACGGTCCTT